TGGAAGAGGGGCAACCGGGACAGAATCCGGCGCCCCGACCGGGACTAGAACCCGGTGTGCCGGCGCCGCAAGGTGGAGGATTAGCCTAGTGAGCCGCGGCGCCAGCTTCAACACACAATTTTTAAAAACAATGTATTTATTTGAATGGCAACACAATAGAGGAGGGACAAAAAAAAGATTTTGCATCTACTGGTTCATTCCCCAAATGGCCACAATGGCCAGCGCTGGTCCAGGCCAAACCCAGGAGCCAGGAAGGCCATCGGGATTTCTCACATGGGTGGCAGGGGTTCAGACGCTGGGGCCATCATCCGCTGCTGCTTGCCCAGGCACATGAGCAGGGAGCTGGACCGGAAGTGGAGCAGCCGGGACTCCATCCAGCACTCCTACCTGGGATGCCGGCATCACAGGTTACGGCTTTCCCTGCTGTGCCATAACACCAGCCCCTCGACACAGGGGTTCTGAGGGGACATGAACACTGAGACTGTAGCACAGACACTGTTTAGATAGGCAGAGGGTCTGTAGCAGTGAACAGAACAGGTGGACGTGTGGAACGGTGGTGAAGACACCTTCCTGGGATACCTGCATCCCCCACGGGAGTGCTGGGGGTTCAGTGCTGGCCGCACTTCCGAGCTAGCTCCCTGCACGCGTGCAGTCTGGGAGGCAGCAGGTGGGTCCCTGCCACCCACATGTGGGAGGCCCAGCGCAGTTCTGGAGTCCTGGATGTTGAGCATTTTATTTAAAACATTAATTTACTTATTTATTTGAAAGTCATAGTTACAAAGAGGGGGAGAAACATAGAGAGAGATATCTTCCATCTGCTGGTCCACTTTCCAGGTGACTACAATGGCCAGAGTGAAGCCAGGAGCCAGGAGCTCATCCGGGTCTCCCACGCGGGTTCAGGGGCTCAAGCACTTGGTCCATCTTCCGCTGCTTTTCCCAGGCCATAGCAGAGAGCTGGATGGGAAGTGGAGCAGCAAGGACTTGAACTAGTGCTCATATGGGATGCTGGCACTACAGGCGGCATCTTTACCTACTATACCACAGTGCCGGCCCCTACTATCACTCAAAGTCTGAAAAACTCTGAGTTCTAAACTCTAGGATCAAGGATTAAGATAAAGGAATGAGATGTCTGATATGTTAGATATTGGCATGAAGAGAGACAAGCTAATGAAGATGATGTGATAACTGTAGGATGGGACAGAGTCTCCATCGTGCAGACAGTGGTTAAGGAGAGTTTCCCTGATGCGACAGCACAGGAGTGAAACAGGCAAAGTCTGGAGTGTTCCATGCAAGGGGTACAGCAAGTGCAGACATCAGAATGCACCTGCTGTGGTCAGGGAGCAGCAGCGAGGAGGCCCGATCACTGGAGCAGTCAGCAGACAGAGGAAGAGGATTCATAGGGAGACGTTGGGGCTGATGGTGGGACACACACACAGGGAAGGCGGAGGACGGACAGGATCAGGCAGATCCCTGCCTGGCCCACCCAGGTCCCTGAGTCCAGAGCTCACACACCTGACACCTGTGGTCACGCACAGCTGCTGCCACGTGGTCCAGGAAGAAGCCCAATGTCAGCACGGCGGACAGCGCCCCAACCCAACTTCAGCTGGTGCTGTCCGTGGTGCTGAAACCGAGTGCAGCCTTGCACAGGGTAAAACAGGGCCTGGTCCCACTGCGGAGGGCGGTGACCACAGCCCTGGCCTCGGATCCGCCCCATCTCCATCCCAGGAAGAGAACACACACTAGGCTGCACTTGCTTATATAAAAGCCTTAGCGACAGAGGCGGTTCCAAGATGGCGGGAAAGAAAGGGAGCTTACTGATCTAGTTCAGGAGAAGATAGTTTAATAAAAGTGGAGATAGTGTAGTCTCAGGGAAGAGTTAGGGGGAAAATGGCAGAGGAAACTCTTCCGTAATTAGAGGGACATGGTGGACCTATGTGGAGGGGGTGGGTGCCCATGGCTCGGGACCCAGCTGCCAAGAGCCTCCACACCAGCACTGGAGAGTGAGATAATTAAAAATGAATTTTAATGGAAAAAAGAAGCCTTCGCAATAGGGGTCGGTGCTGTGGCACAGCAGGTAAAGCCATCGCCTGAAATGTCGGCATCCCATATGTCCCGGCTGCTCCACTTCCAACCCAGCTCTCTGCTATGGTCTGAGAAAGCAGTGGAAGATGGCCCAAGCCCTTGGGCCCCTGCACCCACGTGGGAGACCCGGAAGAAGCTCCTGGTCCCTGGCTTCGGATCAACCCAGGTTCAGCCATGGTGGTCGTTTGAGGAGTGAACCAGCATTTGGAAGACCTCTCTCTCTCTCTCTCTCTCCCTCTCTCTCTCCCTCTGCTTATCTGTAACTCTGCCTTTCAAATAATAAATAGATAAATATTTTTTTTAAAAAAGGATTTTTTAAAAAAGCCCTCACAATATGTCTCCATGGTTCTCACAGCATCTCAGACTGAACTCAACCCAGCCAGAGCTCCAGTTTAGAACATAATTTTTTTTTTATTTGACAGGTAGTTATAGACAGTGAAAGAGAGACAGAGAGAAAGGTCTTCCTTCTGTTGGTTCACTCCCCTAATGGCCACCACAGCTGGCGCTGCGCCGACCCGAAGCCAAGAGCTGGGTGCTTCCTCCTGGTTTCCCATGCGGTGCAGGGCCCAATCCTCCACTGCCTTCCCCGGGCCACAACAGAGAGCTGGACTGGAAGAGGAGCAACCAGGACTAGAACCCGAGGTGCAGGCGCCGCAGGTGGGGGATTAGCCTAGTGAGCCGCAGCGGGGCCGGCCCCAGTTCAGAACATAATTAATAACACGACCATCCTCTGCTCACACCTCACACAGCTCCTTCTCCCAATGCCTCATGACCTTTGAACTTGAAGGTGATTCCATGGGGTGTGGCTCTTGCCCCACACATGCACATGACCCACTCCCTCACCTTCAAGACCTTTCTCAAAAGTCATCTACCCAGTGATGCCTACCCTGAACACATCACTCAAAATTACAAAAACAGGGGCCAGTGCCATGGCATAGTGGGTTAAGCCACCATCTGCACTGCTGGCATCCCATGTGGGCACTGGTTCAAGTCCCAGCTACACCACTTCCAATGCAGCTCCCTGCTGAGGTGCCTGGGAGAGCAGCAAAAGGTGGCCCAAGTATTTGGGCCCCTGCACCCATGTGGGAGGCCTGGATGGAGCTCCTGGCTCCTGGCTGCTGCATGGCTCAGCCCTAGCTGTTGCAGTCATTTGAGGAGTGAACCAGTAGATGGAAGATCTCTCTCTCTCTCTCTCTCTCTCTCTCTCAACTCTGACTTTCAAATAAATAAATCTTTTTAAAAATGACAAAAACAAACCTGCCCTTCTGACTCTGCTTCCACACGCATGCAGCTAGTTCTGCGTGTATTACCATCTGCTCATACACTGACGAAATTCATTGTGCTCCGAGGTCATTATCTCTCACCCTCACTAACCTTCTGCTCACCCACACAAACGCTTTCTCTGTCATTGGCTCACTCCCCGACCCCCAGTGCCTAGCACAGAACCTCGTACACACTTGGTGCTCAATAAATGTTGTAGCACCAATAAATGTTCAACGAATTTAAACAATTTTTAAAAATATTTATTTATTTGAAAGGCAGAGAGAAAGGCAGGGAGGGAATCTTCTATCCCCTGGTTCACTCCCCAGTGGCTGCAATGACTGAGGCTGGGCCAGGCTGAAGCCAGGAGCCTGGAGCTCCACCTGGATCTCCTGCATGGGTGGCAGGGACCCAGGCACCTGAGCCATCACTCGCTGCTTCCTCAGGCAGATTAGCAAGGAGCTGGGTCAGAAGTGGAGCAGCTGAACTTGGAACCGGGGTTCCTATGGGATGCTGGCGTCACAGGCAGCGGCTCAGCCCACTGTGCCACAAAAAGGTCTCTGGGCCGGTCACTGCAGATGCTGATAACTCAGCTCGAGGCACAGACGGACCTGAGTCACCTGCTCCCCCCCCCCCCATCCAGCCCCAGCGCAGGCAGCTTGACTCCTGCTGGGAGCCCTTCCACGGTAAGCGCCCTTCTGCTGTGACACGGAGACCGAATTCTGAGAAGAGGGGGGAAGATGGGCTGTGTGCTCGTGAGATTGACCTCAGATCCAAACGGAGTCGAAAGCAAGTCAGGGGCATATCCAGGGGCTGCTGCTCCAGGCCGGGGGAACAGCAGGTGCACGGGGCCTGAGGCGGGGCCCGGTTCAGCAAGGCTCTCGTGGGTGGAGTGGAGCAGGGCTGTGATGCGGGTGCTGTGCACGTGCAGGGTGCTGTGTAGGTTGTGTTGGGGGCCACTGGGGAGGCGCGTTTGGCCCCGCGTGTGGATAGTGGCGATGGCATGGATCTACCAGCGAGCTCCGGGGTGTGTGTGTGTGTGTGCAAGGTCTGTGTCTGATTACAGCAGGTCGTGGGGGTGAAGCGGGTTCTGGAAGTGGAATGCATGCAGAGACAACACGAGGTGCGCGTGCGTGTGCACGCGTGCACGGAGGGTGGGTGTGTGCCCAGCTGCGTGAGTGGGTGTGCGGGGGGATGTTGGAAAGCTGTTTTCTGGCCCCAGAGCGGGAGAGAGCGAGCCCAGGAACTCACAGCCCCGCCCTGCCCCCACATCTCCAGGCAACGGCGGCGCGGTTGCCAGGAGACCAGGTTGCCAGGGCAACGCCGGCCTGAGTGGCAGCTCCGGGCGGAAGTCGGGATGCGGGAGACCACACCCACTCAGCTAAGTGTCTCATCAACCCTGCCTTCCTACATTCACTGATATATATTTTGAGAACCTGCTATGTGGTGTGACTCCTCTGGGCGCCGGAAGACGGAAGTGAATCAGACAGATAACCATTTTACCAGCCCGAAACACCTGGACTCCACGCTCAGATTAGGTTGTTTGCCCATTGGCCAAGGGAGCTAGCAAGGGCGGTCTAACTTTGAAGGACAGCTCCACGGACCAATCGAAAAGCTAAGACCACCAGGACCAATGAGGCGCCATCGTGGGCGGGACTAGCGTGTAAACGCACTACCGATTGGATAAGGGGACGCTGCGAATGGCGGAGGCGCTGCGGCGAGTGCTCAGCCGAAGTAGCGCGGCCGGGCCGGAGGAGGACACGGCCGAGGCCGGACCGCCTTTGTTGCTGCTCGGCGCCCCAGGATCTGGGAAAACCACGTTGCTCTTCGCGGCGGCCCTAGAGGCGGCGGGAGAGGGCCGGGGCCCCGTCTTCTTCCTGACGCGGAGGCCGCTTCAAAGCCTGCCCCGCGCGACTGGCGCCGCCCTCGAGCCCATGCGTCTCCAGGTAACGATGGGGCGGGACTAGTCTCTTCCAGCCGCTGGTAGGAGGGGTACGATTGAATGACAGATACATAGGCCAATGGTGGGGACCGTGGTAAGGCGAGCTGGCGCAACCTTGACGGGGTGGAGTCAGGAATGCTCCGGGGGCGGGAGTTTAAGATTGAGGGAGAAATTACCCAATGACGTGGCGGGGTTAGCAGAGGCGGCCTCCAAGGGGCGGAGTCAGGGTTTGTAAGGGGGTGGGGCTGCCTTTGGGCATGGTCTGGACCTGAGTTGGCTTCCTTGGGGGCAGCCGGTCAAGGGTGGGATACGGACTGAGGATGCCGGTGTGAGGTTGCCCCAGACATTTTTTTTTTGATTTATTTACGCGGCCGGCGCAGTGGCGCAGCGGGTTGAAACCCTGGCCTGCAGCTCCTGCATCCCATATGAGTGCCGGTTCGAGTCCCAGCTGCTTCTCTTCCGATCCAGCTCTCTGCTCTGGCTTGGGGAAGCAGTGGAAGATGGCCCAAGTGCTTGGGCCCCTGTACCCGCGTGGGAGACCCGGAGGAAGCTCCTGGCTCCGGACAGGCTTTGGCCACCTCTCGCCCGGGCTGCCTGCGGCTGCTAACCTACCCGCAGGTTTTTCTTGCCTGTGGCTCCTGGCGTGCCCTCGGCCTGGCATGGATCTCCCAGGTCACCTTTCTGAACCCCCTTCTCCCATTTATGAAAAGCAAAATGCTATTGACCCTGGAGGAGCGGCCGGGGCGGGGTTTAATCACTGGCAGCTGCCCCGGGCGTCCGCTTCCCACGCTCACTCTGCCCCTCTCTTTCAATCTTCTAGAAAATTCGCTTCCAGTACCCACCCTCAACCCCGGAGCTCCTCTGGCTCCTCGGCTCCGCCCACGAGGGCCCGGGGCCGGCGCCCGCGCTTCTGCTGCTCGATGGCCTGGAGGAGTACCTGGGGGAAGACCCAGGGGCCCAGGAGGCCGCCCACCTGGCCGCCCTGCTCGTGGACACAGCCGCCCACTTCAGCCACCGGCTGGGGCCCGGCCGGGCGTGCGGGCTGCTGGTGGCCCTGCAGACCCAGGACGAGGGGGACCCCGGGGAGGCCCTGCGGCTGGCCGTGCTGCAGCGCTACTTCCCAGCCCAGTGCTGGCTGCAGCCGGACGCGCCGGGCCCGGGCGAGCGCTGCCTGCGGGCCTGCCTGGAGCCGGGCGCGCCGGGCCACAGGACGGAGTGGCGGGTGAGCTTCGGCGCCGACGGAGAGCCGACGGTCGCCCCGGCCGCTGCCTGCGGCTCAGACCAAGCTTCCGGCTCCGGAGGCCGGGCCCGAGCCTTGATCGGCCACAGCCTCTCCGGGCCGGGGTCTCCCACGGCTAAAAGGCCCCGCTCGGGGACGCGTGCAGAGTCGGGGACGTGAGAGCGTCCAGCGCGTGTTTAGACAGCAGCAGCATCCTGCACACAGGACAGCCGCCGACGTGTGATTTCGTTTTCTTTATCAAAAGTCGTCTGTTACCTATCGGCCTCTGCCCCTTCCTTCTCCGCCCGCTTGACGTCATCGGCTCCCTCCTGGCTGCCCGGTCCCCAGCGGGTCCCCGGGTCCTGGGAGCATTCGCCTGCGTGAGTCGGGAGGGCCCCTACCTACAAGTCGCGCTGTAGGGAAAGTGTGCGGACGCCTACCTCTCCCGGGCCATCGCGCGCCCCCGGGGCGTCACCCGGTGGCCCTTGGTGTCAGCACGGCCCGATACAGGACAGGGCTCTGTGAGCCATCCTTGGTGGCGAAGAACAAGCCAGAAGCTCACGAAACGGCAGCCCTCGCCCTGGTTGTACAACTGAACTACATTTCCCAGCCTCCCTTGGGCCTAGCTGGGGTCACATGACTGTTTCTGGCCAATAGAATTTCAGGACAGCGGCCCATTTCCGGGCCAGATCCTTAGGCCCATTTCCGGGCCAGATCCTTAAAATGGTCCCTGGACTCTCCTGTTGTGTCTCACTTGTTGGCTGAGGATAGAGAGGACCTAGGTGAGGCCCCCAAGGTGACCCTAGGGGAAGCGGAAGCCGGAGACCAGAGAGGTCCTACGCTATTTGTCTTTTTAAGTCAGTGCCCCTCCGCCGGGTCACTCCCCAAATGACTGGGACAGCCAGGGCGGGGCCAGGGCCCCAGCCAGGAGCCCAGCGCTCCATCCGGGTCTCCCCCACGGGTGCAGGGGCCCAGGCACTGGGGCCATCACGGCTGCCTCCCCAGGTGTGCGAGCTGGGAGCCGAGCTGGGTCCCCACGCCGGCACCTGCACCTGCTCCAACGGCAGAGTTTCAGGCTGAGCTGGGAGACTTGCACGGGCATCCCCGGAGGACGATGACGCTTTGAACATGCACAAGTTTATTGATTTCATAACAGGAAAGCTTACGGATCTGGTTTACGTATATACAAAGGTCGCACAGTACATAGTGTGTAATGCCACAAGGGTGAGTTTCCTGAGCTCCGTGGGTTGGGCGGCCGACATCGGCAGTGCCCCCACCCCTGCCGGAGGCCTCCAGGGCCTGCGCGGCTACAGGCGGTCACGTCAACCCCCCCGCCCCCCCCCCCGCACCTGCACGTTGGCTCCCTAAGAGCAGGCAACGTAGCTGGGGGGTGGCGGCTCGGGGGCTGGCCGGAGGCTGTTCTCGTAGGGGTTGGAGTAGGAGCCGTCGGGGGAGCTCCCGGGGGCTCCCTGGGAGCCCCCTGAGCTGTAGTCAGCCGAGATGCCCGAGTCGGACACCACGAGGTACAGGTACTTCAGGTGGGGCGGGGTGGGGGGCAGCTCAGGGGGCAGCGGCCGTGGGCACAAGACCTGGGAGCGGGGGTCGAGGATGGTGTACTCGAAGCTGGCGGCAGAAGCCCCCTCTGGCCTGGGCTTCAAGGCCAAGGCCGACGAGCATGAGGAGGCCTCTGAGCCTTCGTCCCCGGCCGCGGTGTCAGCACCGCCTGCGGGCCCTGGCAGGCGCTCGCCGGGCGGGCTCCGGGGCAGCAGCCACTTGTCCAGTACCAGGTAGGAGTCCGGGGCGTGCTTCCTGCTCCCCGGCTCCAGCAGGGGCCCCTCGTCCGCGGCCTCGGGCTCCGCTGCCTGGGCCACTCCCCAGCAGCGCTCAGACAGGACTTCCAGGGGGGCGGGTGGGTCCTCCGGGTAGGGGGTGCAGGGGCTCCACCATAGACAGCCCTCATTCTGGTGTAGCCATAGCTGGAGAAGCGGCAGCGGCCGGGGGCTCAGAGGCCGGGGCTTTGGCTGCGGGGACAGGAAAGCCCCAGGCCCCGACAGGGACAGGCGGGCTCACTTACCTGGAAGTTCCCCTTGTGGGTGGTGAAGAGACCCTCGAACTCGCTCTCCGGGCTCGGGATGCCCGGCCAGATCTTCTGCTTCAGAGCCCTGTGGGAAGAGGTTTCGTGGTCGTGAGCCACGGAACGCTCACCCCTGCCCCCGCAGTGCCCGGTTCCGCGGTCACAACTACTCCTGGTCCCCCCCCCCCATGACGACGGAGGCAGAGGCGTGTGTCCAGCTTAGACCCTGGCTGAAGCAGAAAAGGGTCTAAGTCTATGTCTATGTCTAAGTCTCTGTCTCTCTCCATCTCATCTCCATCATCTCCATCCCCCTCCCCCTCCCCCATCTCCCGTCTCGCTTGTTCCCCTATGTCTATGTCTGTCTATGTCTCTCTCTCTCTCTCTCTCCATCTCACCTCCACCTCATCATCCCTCTGTCTCTCCAGCGCCTAGTGCATAGCTGGCACCCAGCACCAGGGCAATGCACAGAGCCATGAAAGCGAACCAGGAGATGGTTCAGCGGCTATAGCAGGCAAAGACTTGGGGACCGTGAACGGGCGCGCGGCGTGCCTGGAATCACCCATACCCCGGGGTCGAGGGCAGGAGGAAAGCCAGGCGGGTGTCCCCAAGAGCAGAGGAGTTTATTGAGCGTCTGGGCCCGGTCGGGCAGGCCCCCCGCACGGTGTGACGCCGGACGCGGGTTCGCTCCCCACCCCCGGCCTAGCCCAGCCTCTCGGAAGGGAACGACCTGGGGAGGCTCACCGGCGATGGGCCAGCAGGCCGAGCGCGGCCAGCAGCAGCAGGATGAGCACGAGGATGAGGGACAGCGTCAGGATGAGAGGGTCCAGGTCTGGCGGTCGGGGCGGAAGTCAGGGCGGGAGCTCCCCGCGGCTCGGCTCCCCCGTCCCGCCCGCAGCCCGCCGGTGGCCTCACCGCTAGCGGTGAGCAGCGACGCAGGCGCGGACCAGGCGCTCCAGAAGCCCCCGAAGCTCGGCTCGGCCATGCGCGCGCGGACGGCGAAGGAGTAGCGCGTCCCGCGCCGCAGGTTGCTCAGCACGCACTCGGTGCGGCCTTCGAGAATCTCCACCTTGGGGCACCCGGGCCCGGGTGAGGACGGGGTCCGTGGGGGCGGGCCCCGGGGAGCCGAGCCAATCAAGGAGAGGAAAGGCGGGGCCCAGGGGCGGCAAGGCCAATCAAGGAGAGGAAAGGCGGGCCCCAGGGGGACCAGCCAATCAAGGAGAGGAAAGGCGGGGCCCAAGGGGACTAGCCAATCAAGGAGGGGAAAGGCGGGGCCCAGGGCCGGCGAGACCAATGAGGGAGGGGCGGGACACCAGAAGACTCAGGGCCAATCTGGGCGAGGGACGGAAGAGGAGGGGGCGGGGCCTGGGCCAAGTCACGCCCACGGCTGCTAGCGTCAGGGGCGGGATCTGAGGGCGACGGGCTGCGGTGGGCGGTAGGGGCGAGGCTCACCCTCTGCGCGGCTCCTGCACCGCTGCCTGCGGAGACGTCCACCTCGTAGCGGATGTGGGTGGTCATGGGTGCCCCAGGGGGCGGGAGCCAGCGCAGGACCACGTGGCCGCCCTCGTCGGCCTGTCGCGCCAGTAGCCCCTCGGGGGCGTCCAGGAGCACTGCGGCAGGGGGCGTGACTGGGTGGGCGGGCAGAGTCCGAGGCCACGCCCCTATGCCACGCCCACGCCTCCGGGGAGGGGGCGCTTACCCACTTCGTTGACGTGGATGATGCGGTTGTAGCGCTGGGCGCCCGAGGGGACCGCGGTGACGCGCAGCTCCAGGGGCACGAAGCTGGACGTGTCGGCCGTGGGCAGCGAGCACCAGAAGCGCACCGCTCCGCGGGCCGTGGGCACCTGGTGCAGGTGACACGACTTCCACGGCTCACCCCTGCGCGCCCGGGACGCCCGGGAGGGAAACGAGCAGGGGGTAACTTGGGGGTACGGCCACCAGGGGGGCGCCGCAGCCCCGACGTGGTGACACCTGCCGCCCTGATGCGGAGGCGACCCCCCTTTTGGGGTCGTTTACCGCGGGGGGCGGTCTCCAAACCCGGCCACCAGGAGGCGGGTCAGCCCTGGCCCTGCGGGCTTCCCACTCGTGACCGCGGCGAGCCCCCGTCCACCCGCTGGGGATCCCGCCCCGTTCGACTCACTCAAGCTGGTACGAGAAACTGTAGTTTCTGGGACCGACCCCGGGGACGGCGGCTTCCTCCCAGAAACATAGCAAGTCCTCCAGCCGCTCGCTGAAGCACAGAAGGTCTTCGGGCCCGCGGGCCGCCAGCAGGGCCGCTGCGGGGGGACGGTGCGTGGGGTGGGGGAAGTCAGGGAGGCAGAGCCCGGGGCCTCGGGCCACAGCCCCCTCCTCGGGCTCCCACCGCCTGTGCTGCGCCGATAAGAAACACGCCGGGCCCCGCCCTCTCCCGCAGCGGGGCTCCCAATGGGGTCGGCACGGGGGGCGCCCCCTGAAGCCCCGAGCGCAGGTTGCTAGTCCTATTGTCACCCCCCACCCCACTCCTCCATCCAACACGCACCAGCCCACCCGGCGGCCAGCAGGTGCCGCGATCGCCACCCCGGCCTCCCCCTGCGGGCCCCGCCCCATCGCGGCCGTGCGCGCTCCAGGGCGTGTGCGGAGCACGAGGTCCCCTATCGGCCCCCGCAGGCTGCCGGCCGCCCGATAGCGCCAACCGTGCCCGCGGCGCCCGCCCTGCTCCCGGCGGGGCCAGGCAGCGGGCGCCCGCACGCCAACCGTGTCCCCAGCCACCTGCCGCCGGTCCCTGGGACGTGGGGCCGCACTTCCCCCAGGCCAAGCTCCGCACTGGGGGTGGGGGAGAGTCCTCCACTCGGCCACTCCCCCTCTAGGGACTCAGTGTCTGGGGTGGTCCAGGTGCAGACCCCTCCCCATGACCCTAGAAGGGACCAGGTCCCTGGCTCCCCGGGACCGCGCAAAGAATGGAGCAGAAACACCGTGCCCTCTTCAGTGGGGGTGCGGAGACCCCGCCATGGCCGCACCAGGATCCAGGTTAGGACTTGAGACACCAGCGTGGCCCCCAGGCCCCAGCATGGCCCCTCCAGAACCCAGTGTGTGTGTGTGTGTGCGCGCGCGGGGGGCTGTGGGGGGAGGAACCCACACTGCCCCGTCCTTACCTTTACTCTCAAATCTGGGGTCGTGGAGGTTGAGAGGGGGCGCCCAAGCGGCCCCCGCGAGCAGGAGGCAGAGGGAGCCGACTCGGGGCCAGAGGCGCTCCATGGCGCGGCCTCCGCCCCCAAGGGGCGCCGCGGCTGCTCGCCCCGCGGCAGGGTCCCCAGCTGGGCCAGCAGCTGCGTCCGCCCCGGACACAGCTGGCCAGGCCCTTCCTGGCTCCCGGCCTCCGCCCGGGCGGCAACTCCCCCGGGGGGCGGGGCCGGAGCGCGGCCCGGGGCAGAGATAGGGGCCCGGCGGGCGGGAGGGCGCGGGGTCCCCGCGGCAGACGCACTTGGCGCGAAGTGAGTCCGGGCAGGTGACTTTTCTTATCTGAACTGTAACATCTACAGCCTGGCACAGAGCAGACATTCCGATAAGGCAAGTTCCTGCGTTTATCGCCTGCATCGGCATTGCTTCTCGGACTGGAAATAAGTAAATAAGTAATACATAAACATCGTAATAATGACCAGCCATTAAGTTGGCGCTGGGCCCAGCTACTGGACAGGGCGTACAATATGCACCTGTATTTGTACATAGTCTAGAGTGCGAGCTTTCATTTAAAGAAAAAAGATGTATTTATTTGAGAGGCAGAGTTACAGAGAGAGAGAGAGAGAGAGATCTTCCACCTGCTGGTTCACTCCCCAAATGGCCACACCAGATGGAGCTGGGCTGGTTCGAAGCCAGGAGCCAGGAGCTCCATCCGGGTCTCCCACGTAGGTTCAGGGGCCCAGGGACTTGGGCCATCCTCCACTGCTTTCCCAGGCCATAGCAGAGATCTGGATCAGAAGTGGAGCAGCTGGGACTCGAACCGGCGTCCATATGTGGCTCCTTAAACTGCTGAGCCACAGCGCCAGCTCCCCAGGAGTGTGTATGGCTTGCCTCTTTATACTCATGACGTTTTATTTTACAAACAAGGCACAGATTTTAAAATAATGGCTGGGGCACGGAGGTACACACCTGCTGAAAGACACAGGTGCTCCATGGCTCAGCGCTGTCGCGGACTAACCAATCAGAGCCCGGACAGTTCCGTGCCCATAGCGATTGGTTCAAGGCAGACACGTGGCTTGAAAGGATCCAATGAGCTTTCATCCTGGGACTTTAGCTGAAGTTCGCAGCTTCCTATTGGGCGAGTGGGTGGGTGGATGGAGTAGTTGGAGGCATCTTTGCCACCAGAGGGAAGAAACTGCCGGTGAGGATAACCCCGGCTTTTCACCGCTTCCTCTATGAGGAAGGTTCCTGCCATAGATGGTGGCCACGCTCTTTCTCTTCACTTTATTCAGGCCTCCGTGAAAGTGTCACCTCCTCCATGCAGCCCTCCGTGATCACCCTACCTAAAACAGCAACTTTCCCACCTTAAGCCACCACAAATAGGCTTTTTTTTTTCCCCTGTTTTTTACTTTGGGCACCTACTGTCCTTTTGATGATCCGACGTGTATTTGGTGTTTTGTCACTGATCCACAGCTCTAGCTATTCCTAATCAAAGTGTCCTGGTGGGGGGGGCCGGCGCCATGGCTCACTTGGTTAATCCTCTGCCTGTGGCGCCGGCATCCCGTATGGGCACCAGGTTCTAGTCCCGGTTGCTCCTCTTTTCCAGTCCAGCTCTCTGCTGTGGCCTGGGAGGACAGTGGAGGATGGCCCAAGCGCTCGGGCTCCTGCCACGCCCGCGGGAGACTCGGGTGAGCCCCCCCCCGACCAAGGTGACCCACCACGTCTTCATTCAGCACCCAGCAGCAAGCCCAGAGCTTTCCCACGGTCACAGGATCACGCCTTAAAGCCCCAGGGGAGGGGGTGTCTCAGAAATGTGGCTTTTCCTTTGAGGGGATCGATAATCCTACCACTGCCAAAGGCCACGGGAAAGGACGGGGTGGGGGTGGGGGACGTGCACAGGTGCATTGGCCAAGCCAGTCTGAGCCAAGAGCACCACGGTGCTGATGACATCATTCGAGTTCCTGGATCCAACTGTGCCTGAAGCTAGCCCCGCTGGACTTTTCCATGACACAAACCATGGATTCATTACCCGCAAACCCCCCCCCCCATTTTTTAAAAAACATGTCTCTGTTTGAATCAGACTCTAGACCGCTTGGAACAGAAAGAACCCAGATGAACCCAAGGAGACAGAAAAGCCCTCGGGGATGGCCAGCACGGAGCGGGCGGGCGTGTTCCTTCATCCTATCCCCACCCCGAGAGACCGGAACCCCTTCCCGGCATCCTCAGATCCCCTAGGGACTCGTGGGCGCCCATCTCTCCGTTGGGTGGAATTCCATTTATTTGCACTTTGATACACATAACAAAAAAGACGCTGTTATCACTCCAGAAAAACCGGGAGGAGGAAATCCTGACAGGCCTCTCTGGCATCCGGCCGTGACTCAGCCAATCATCTTCCGAGGGCTCCCATCGCCCCCCCCCCCCATTTTTGTTGAACTTGAACTTGGGCGCACAGGTGCGAAGCGAGCAGCCCGGGCTCCTGCTCCGTAGCTGTGGTGCCTGCTCTCGTCCACTCGGGGTCCCCAACAGGGGACCTCTGAAGCCACGCCCCCTTCCCTATTTCTGGGACTGTGCGCTCTCTCCCGGCACCCACCCTGGGGGCTGACTGACGCCTCCGGGGATAAAGACCCAGCGCTAAGAGCAGCGATTCAGGGGCTGCAGCCGCTAGGGGGCAGTGTTGGCAGACTGACGGCACAAGCACCGGCCTTACTAGGGGCGGGTGGGTAGTGCGGTTCCAGGAGAAGCCCCCAACTCTCCCACCCCACCCCCGCTCCACGGTGACAAGCGCCAGGTCGGGGCCGGCTCAGGCTGGGGAGAGGGACGGTGCGTGCCGGGCCGCCTCTCTCCGCCGCAGCACGAAGTCCCCGGGGGAGGCTGGACTCATGGCGTAGAAGACATTGGCATTGTCCGGAATCAGGAGCTCTGGGGGCGGGGGAAGGGCAGGGACGAGGTGAGAGGCCCGCACAACCTCCTGCCCCTCCCCCACGGAAACCCCCAAGCCTTCCGCCCCCCACCCCCCAACCCCCACTCCTGGAAGCCGCCCAGGCTCGGGTCCTCCCAGCCAGCGCCCACCTGAAGCCCGGACAACCTCACTCCTGTCTCTACCACCAGCCCAGGCAACCGCCCACCATTTGCCTGCCTGCACCCCACGGAGGCCCGACATTCGCATCCCAAGTTTAGGCAAACGCAGGCCACACCCCCCAAACAGCTTCCGGCCCCGCCCGCCCCAGCACCTGCTAGCCCAGCTCGGGTGGGCTGAACTTGGACGGCTCCCCACCTGCAGTCTGCACAAACATAGTAAGCTCACCCTCCCCCCGCCTCAACACGCACAACCTCACCCCCCCCCCTGACTCCGAGTTCCACACTCTTTGTCCCTCTCCCATCCCAAGTTCAGACACTCGGGGCTGGCCCAGCTCAAGGTGCCACTAACTTCAGCTCAGATCAGCTTCTCCCACTTGACCTTGGACGATCTCGCTGCCCCAGAATTATGAGCGCCGGTTCGAGTCCTGGCTGCTCTACTTCTGTTCCAGCTTCGTGCTAAGTGCTTGGGCCCCTGCACCCACATGGGAGACCTGGATGGAGCTCCTGGCTCCTGGCTTCAGTCAGGCCCAGCTCCAGCCATTGTGGCCTTTTGGGGCGCGAACCAGCAGATGGAAGACCTCTCTCTCTCTTTCTCTCTCTCCCTCCCTCCCTAACTCTGCCTTTCAGGTTAATTAATTAAAAAGCCAGCCTTGGGTGCCCCGTCCCTCACTCTGAGCCAGGACAGCCTCCCCGTGCACGCCCCTGGCCTGGGCCCCAACTGGGTGAGTGGCCCCACTCACCCTTGTCCCCAGGGAGGACTTGGAAGAGCTGGTAGTCACCGGTGCAGGCCTCGGGGGCGCTGTGCTTCTGCAGGGCCCGCTGCACCACGCTGGGGGCTTTGTCCTGGCTCGTGAGCTGGAGAGAGGGAGCGGGCAGGGGGTGGGCCAGAGGCCCCCAGCCCCAAGGGGCCCCAGCTGCGCCCCGCAGGCCGCCAGCCCCGCCCCTCACCAAGATGCTCCGGTACAGGTTCCCGTGGTCATTGTCCATGCTGACGCGGATGACGCAGGATTCCGAGCCCGGCTGCTGCCCCGGGTTCAAGGCCAAGGTCAGAGGGCGGGGGCCTGGCGGGTCGGGGCTCCAGGGCGGCTGCAGGCAGTGGGGGCAGGGGCGATGCTGAGGGCTGGGGGCCCAGCGGGCCCCGCTCCCAGCGGTGTATCCTGTAGGTTTGCTATATGCTAACATGGCCCTGTGCGCCGGGGCCTGGCACGCGCAGCCCGCGTACACACAAGCTCAGTGGGATCCCACATAGGCCTCCTGTCCCCAGCAGCAAGAGTGACCCCTGTACCCCCAGGCCACACTCAAGCGCACCCCGAAGCGCGTGAGCGAGCAAGCCCGGATCACTCCAGGCATGCGTTCCCGCCCCTCTCAGAATGCTGATTCCCAGGGACAAGCCCGGGTCACCCCTCCTGGGCCAAGCACTCCCTGGGGCGCTCCAGACCTGGGCAGGCGACGGCTTGGGGGACGATGGCTCAGACGGGGCCAGGGAGACGCTCACAGCTCCTGGGTACACCTACCCCCCGCACACACCTGGCCCTGCCATCCCGTGTGCCCCACCCTGCCCAGCCCTGGGTGCCACACGGTAACACACACACACACACACACACACACACGAAGCCTCTGTACCTTGGTGTTGGGACCCTGGGGCCCTGGCGAGGCTGGGGGGCTGCCAGGAGGAGGGTCCTTGACTCCAGGGCTTGCTGGCGGGGACCCTGGTGACCGACTGGGGGAGGGGGCGGAGCCTGAGTGGGGCAGGTGCACCCCAGGACCCCCCACCCTGCTATGCCTGGCCTTGTGGGACGCTCACCTGGCAGTGGGCGAGGAGGGGTCCCCGGGACTCCCACCAGGCGATGAGCTTTTCTCTCGGGACAGCTTCCTGAGGACGGGGACAGGGACCGGGGTCCAGGCCGGACTGGGCCCCAGGAGCAGCGCCCGCTCCCCCCTCCCACGTTGTCGCCCCCAGGGACTCACGCGCTGAGACGCTTGGTGAGGCTGATGCGGCGCCTGCCGCGCGGGGAGCTGGGGCAGGAGGCGGCCGGGGGCTCGATGACGCGGGAGATCCGGTAGCTGAGGGGTCAGTGTGAGAATGGACAGTGGGGGCGGGGGAGAGGGGCAGTGGGGGAGGAAGAGATAAAGTCAGAATCAGGGGCCCGCGTTGTAGCAGGTTAGGCTGCCACTTGTCACGCCGGCATCCCATACGGGCGCTGGTTCGAGTCCCGGCTGCTCCACTTCCGATCCAGCCCCCTGCTGATGCTTCTGGGAGGCCGAAGGGGACGGGTCCAGTGCCTGGGCCCCTGCACCCACGTGGGAGACCCGGATGGAGCTCCTGGCTCCTGGCTTCAGCACCGCCCAGCCCCAGCTGCTGTGGCCATCTGGGGAGTGAACCATCAGATGGAAGACCTCTCTCTCTCTCTGGCACTGCCTTTTAAATAAATAAATCTTTTTTTAATTAAAATTTGTAACAATGAAACAATTGTTAGAGTTGAGTCGGCTGAATCGACGTTTGTCTAAGTTGGACACGGTTATACAGAACTGGGGGTCAGGAACGGGGTCGTGGGTCAGACAGCACCACAGGTGAGGGAGAGGACGCACTGGGGGTTGAATTACCCTGCAGGTTCAAGGTCTCAATCAGACTGCCGGCTGGGGTCAGTGGGGGTCAAGTTTGGGCTTGGAGGTGAGAGAGAGCAGAGACTTCGCAAGGTCACAGGTTGGAGGGGGGAGGGGTTCAGGGCTGCAGCGGGGGTCTTGGGAGGAGCTGAGGGCTGCATGGGGCCGGTGAGATCCAGGGTGGGGAGAGGGGCAGGCCACAGGGGGGTCACCTCTGCTCCTCGCTGAGCTGGCGCTGCGCACGCAGGGCGGCCAGGACGGGCGGGCGTGGGCTCAGGCTGTGGCTCCGACAGCGCCTCTGTAGCTGCTGGATGCGAGCCAGGATCTCCCACTCCTGGGGTGGGGGTGGGGCTCAGAGCCCACCTTGCCTCCACCCTCAGACACCCACCCCAGCCCTGCCTCCATTCTCAGATACCCTACCACAGCCCTGCCTCCTCCCTCAGACACCACCCCAGCCCTGCCTCCACACTCAGACACCCACCCCAGCCCTGCCTCCGCCCTCAGACACCCTACCCCAGCCCTGCCTCCGCCCTCAGACACCCACCCCAGCCCTGCCTCCTCCCTCAGACACCCTCCCCAGCCCTGCCTCCGCCCTCAGACACCACCCCAGCCCTCAGACCCCTCACCCGCACCCACCCCGCTCACCTTTCTCCTCTTCTCAAAGTTGATAAGATCCCCCTGGAGGCAAAGGCTGAACTGGAGTTTCCAGGGCCAGGGGTCAGCCGAGGTCAGGGGTGGGGTTGGGAGGAGCCCCACTTTGCTAACAGGGCTGGGGTCAGGGTCAGGGATGGCAGTCAGGAGGCCCAGTGCGGGGGAGGGGGTAAGCGGAGTAGGGGGAGGGGTCAGGAGTCGAGGTCGGGGGTCAGACCTCCACAGTGTCCGGCAGGGCCGTGTCCAGCATGAGCAGGTCGGTAAGGAAGGTGCCAAGGTAGGGGACGGGGCCTGGGGGCGGCTTCTGCAACCCACCAGGCGCCAGTCACCGGGCCATCATCACCATCATCTCCCCCACCCCTCTCTGGGTGTCCCAAACCCAATGGCTCACCGAGCTCAGGCTGCCCGGGTCCGGGTCCTCCAGGGGCCCCTGCGCAGCCTCCTCCTAGGTGGGAGAGAGAGACCCTGGGAGTGCCACCGACCCCCCTCAGGGGCCATGTCTCAGGGCCACCCCCCCACCCCCCGGCTTCCAGCAGTCAGGCCAGTGCTGGGGACCCTGCCTGCCCCGTGGGAGACCCGGATGGAGCTCCTGGCTTTTGCAGGCATTTCGGGAGTGAACCAGTGAATGGCAACTTCTGCTCTGTCTCTCGTAGAAAAAATTAAAGGGCCACAGACAGGGTGCAGGTGCAGCTGTGCCGGCCGCGGGGGTCGGCGCCCCGCGTACCTGCGAGAGAATCTCCCTGCAGCTGATGTGGTTGTTCTCGTCCGAGAAGATCTGCGAGAGCTTCCGGAACGTGGACAAGGGCTCCCTGGGGCGACAGGAGGGGGCGCGGCCGCGGGTCAGGGGCGCCCTCCCCAGGCCCCGCCCTCGCGCCCCACCTCCCCCGCGGCCCGGCCTCACCTGCTCACCGCGCCCCAGCTGCGCTTGAGCCGGTAGATGGGGTTGGACTGCAGCGCCGACAGGATGGCCCGCAGCGCCGAGAAGTCACGCAGCTCCCGGCAGCGCTGCGGGGCCCGGCGGAGGCGAGGGTCAGACCCCTGCGCACCACCCACTGCCCCGCACACGTGTCCTCCTCTTCCTCCTGCCCCGCCCCCACCCAGTCTCTGCGGGGATCCCACCCAGCCTCTTCCTACCCCATCACCCCCACACTCACGCTCTTACCCCGAGACCCGCCCAGCATCCCACGGCCCCCGCCACCCCCACACTCCACTCTGGGCCGCACCTGCTCCCGCGGCCCCGCCCCCCGCACACACCTGTGCGATGCGGATCCACTTCTCAATGCGCCGCGCCCTCTGCGGGGCAGCCAGGCCCGGCGCCCCGAGCACCGAGCCCAACACGCAGCCGGTCACCAGGTTGAACTGCGCCACGGTGGCGCGCACAGTGGGGGCGACGCCTGCCGCCCCCGGCCGGTCCCGCTGCGACCACACGGAGCCCAGGCACTCGAAGGGCCGCACGCGCTGGAAGAGGTCCTGCACCAGGGCAGGGGGCGGGGTCTGCGCTCGCCGGGAACCGCCAGCCTCCCCCACCGCCTGGCCCAGGCCTGGGTCCTCACCACATCTATGAGGGTCAGCTGTTCGGCCACCTCGTCCACGCTGAAGTCCAGGAGGTCAGGACCTTCCGGCACGAGCCCCTCCTCCCCGGCCCCGCTGTCCTCCGTGGGGTCTGGGCTGGGGAGTCCCGAACCTTACAGGGAAGTTAAAAGATGGCAAGTCTGAGGAGCCTGAGCTGTGACTTACCAGGTAAAGCTGCTGCCTGCAGTGCCGGCCTTCCATGTGGGCGCCGGTTCGAGTCCCGGCTGCTCCACTTCCCATCCAGTTCTCTGCTGTGGCCTGGGAAAGCAGTGGAAGATGGCCCCAGTGCTTGGGCCCCTGCACCTGCACGGGAGACCTGGATGGAACTCCTGGCTCGGGCTGTTGTGGTCACCCAGGGAGTGAACCAGCGAATGGAAGGGTGGGCATTTAAGATTTATTTGAAATGGAGACTGACACACAGAGAGTGGGAGAGCCAGACAGAGCTTCCTTCTCTGGGGCCATTCCCCCAAATGGCTACACCAGCCGGGGCTGAGCCAGGCTGAAGCCAGGAGCCAGGGGCTCCATGCAGGTCTCCCACGTGGGTGCAGGGGCCCAGGCACTTGGGCCACCTTCTGCTGCTTTCCCAGGCACATGAGCAGGGAGCTGGCTCGGCCGTGGAGCAGCCGGGACGTGACCCGGGCTCTGATACGGGATGCCGGCATTGTAGCGGGTGTGGGCCCCTATGGTGTTATCTGTGCATCAACACAACTTGCCCCGCATTGCCGGCTGTCCGTGACGCTACAGCAGGTGCAGCTAACAGCCTGGGAAGCCTTCTCCATTCGTCCTAATGAGGCATGAAGAAGGCAAAAAAAAAAAAAAAAAAAAAAAAAAAAAAAAAACAGACTGTCGGATGATTGACTTCCACTTCCTCTCCTTCCCCCGGTGGTTACGTAACCATATTAATCTTTTAAATTAGCTTTGTCAAGCCTGTTTAATTTTCTCCCTTTCATTTGAATGAGGGCGGCTGGCAATGCCAAATATCAGTTTTGAAAAGTGGGCGTTGGACAAGATGTTGACTCGGCATCCAGCCGGAACCCTGCACCTGACAGCAGCGATGGAGCCAGAGGAACAAGCTCCACTCAGAGAAGTCCAGGAGGACGGGAAGTGCACCCCATTTTCGTGTTGGTTGCATTGAGCAGAAAGCAAAGGCTGTCGGGGAGGCGCTGGGGGTGCCATTAGCAAAGCCGCTGCAACATCGGAATCCCACATCCAAGTGACGGCTCGAGTCTTGGCTGCTCCATTACTTTCTTTTCTTTTTAAACATTTATTTATTTATTTAAAAGGTAGAGTCACAGAGGGGCAGAGAGAGAGAGAGAGAGAGACAAAGAGGTCTTCCATCCACTGGTTCACTCCCCAGATGGCTGCAACGGCCGGAGCTGCGTTGATCCGAAGCCAGGAGCCAGGAGCTGCATCCGGGTCTCCCACACAGGTGCAGGGGCCCAGCACTTGGGCCATCTTCTAAGCTGGTCCATTTCTGAGCCAGCTCCCTGCTAATGTGCTTGGGAAAGCAGCGGCAGATGGTCTGGGTGCTTGGGCCCTGCCACATCTGTGGGAGACCCGGATGGAGCTCCTGGCTTCTGGCTTAGACCAGGACCAGCCCTTGGCCACTGGGGACATTTGGGAAGTGAACCAGTGGGTGGACGTGCTCTCTCACGCTCTCTCTCTCATAAAATAGATCTTTAAAACAAAAGAGGCCAGCACCGCGGATCACTAGGCTAATCCTCCACCTGTGGTGCTGGCACTCGGGGTTTTAGTCCCGGTTGCTCTTCTTCCCGTCCAGCTCTCTGCTGTGGCCCAGGAAGGCAGTGGACAATGGCCCAGGTCCTTGGGCCCTGCACCTGCATGGGAGACCAGGAGAAGCACCTGGCTCCTGGCTTCAGATCGGCGCAGCGTGCCGGCTGTAGCAGCCATTTGGGGGGTGAACCAATGGAAGGAAGACCTTTCTCTCTCACTAACTCTTCCTGTCAAAAAAAAAAAAGAAAGAAAAGAAAAAGAAAGAAAGGGGGGGCCGGTGCTGTGGCACAGCAGGTTAATGCCCCGGCCTGAAGTGCCAGCATCCCATCTGGGCGCCCGTTCGAGACCTGGCTGTTCCACTTCCGATCCAGTTCCCCGCTGTGGCCTGGGAAAGCAGTGGAAGATGGCCTAAGTCCTTGGGCCCCTGCACCCGTGTGGGAGACCCGGATGGAGCTCCTGGCTCCTGGCTTTGGCCTGACCCAGCCCCTGTCGTTGTGGCCATTTGGGGAGTAAATGAGTGGATGGAAGATCTCCCTCTCCCCACCCCCAACTGCCTTTCAAATAAATAAATCTTTAAAACAAAGAGCTTTAATAACAAGAAGAAGAGAAAGGACACAAGTACACAGACACCTGAGATTTTCTCACGAGGGACAGAGAAGCGGGCGGCCACTTTGGAAATGGGAGAGAAAAGTGGCCGCTCTAATGCTCGGATTAGAGGAAGTGGATTAGGGATATGGACGCTGATGAGATAGGATCGGATCAGACGCAGATGGGGAAGATGAGCCTTCGTAAGCAGGATGCAATGACTCCCTCCACTGATCCCTCTCGTGCCTGCCCGGGGGACAGAGTCGGGCACCAGCCTCGGCGAACTCCAGAGGGGAACGGGAGCCAGAAACCGAGACAGGGAAGGCAGGGTGTTGAGTACAATGGGGAGGAAAAAAAAAAAAAAAAAGGCAGCCCAGGAGGACTCCAGGTGCGGGAAGAATTTTGTGGGAAGAATTTGAGAGAGACATTTGCAGGAGTGACAGGTGCACAGGACATGTGTCACACAAAGATCTGTGGGACCCCAGAAGCACCCTGCCTTGGGGGGGGGTCCAGAAGCTGTTATTTTATTCATTTTAGTTCATTCCTTTATTTGAAAAGCATAGTGATACAGAGAGCATCCGGGTCTCCCATGCGGGTGCAGGGGCCCAAGCACTCGGGCCATCCTTCACTGCCTTCCCAGGCGCATTAGCAGGGAGCTGGATCGGAAGTGGAGCAGTCGGGACTTGAACCGGCGCCCATATGGGATGCCAGCACTGCGGGTGGCGGCTTTACCTGCTACGCCACAACAGTGGCTCTTGCTATCCACCATATTACAGGTGGGAAAACTAAGCTTCAGAAGGAGCTAAAACCTTGTGTAAAATCTGTAGCTCTGGGGGGTGGGGGTGGGGCAGAGGGAGACACTGGCGGGGGGGGGGGGGCTTGCAGGAAAGGCCTTCTTGGACCATTTGGTGCAGGGGTTAGGATGCTACCTGGGCCCCTGCCTCCAATACCCACTTGCCTGGGCTCTGACGCCGCTTCCAACTCCAGCTCCCTGCTAATGCCCACCCTGGGAGGCAGCAGGTGCTGCCCCTGTCACCCCCATAGAAGAACCAGGCTGGTTTCTGGGCTCCTGGTTTCAGCCCGGCCCAGGCACTGTAGGAGTCTGGAAAATGGACCAGTGGGAGGGAGATCTCTCTCTGCCTCCCTCTCTCTGCCTCTCAAATACAAGCAGAAAAAGAACACCCCCAGTGCCCCAAACCCTCACCTGCCCACCTCTGGGGCTGCTCCTCTTCCTCCTGCTTTCCCTCAGCTTCCTCCAAAAAATCTTCTCGAAGCTTCTCTGCTTCCCGGGCCTCGGGACTCCCTGGGGCTGCCCAGCTCAGAAAGACCTGGACACTGCCCAGGTTGGAGTAGGCTGGGGGTTCCCGGAAGTCCTGGGGGTGGTCCCGCAGCCAGGAGCCCAGCAGGGACACCACAGCTCTGGCCAGAGGGGCAGGATGGGGCTCAGAGCCAGGCCCAGGCCTCTGCACCCCCCCTGCCTTGACCTTCCAGCCCTTGGCCTGGTCAATGACCTTTGACCGCCAGCCCCCCAGCGCCTGGCCCCATGGGATGCCAACCTCAGGTTCTTGTTGAAGCACAGATCTTGTCCCTGTGTCTTCATTTCTATCCTGGAAAAAAGCCCCCTCTCCAATCAAATGGTGACACGGAGAAGCTCCCCGGGGCATGGGGGTGGCGGGAGTGTTTCCTGGTTCCCAAGCTGAGGAGGTGGGGGCGCGCCCAGGTGGGGTCTGGGGGTGGCTACTGACCCGGGAGGTGGGGGCGGCGGCGGCGGCGGCAGCAGAAAGCGCAGCACGCGGCCAGTGGGCACGAAAGCCCGGTGGGTGGCCAGGAAGGCCGGCACGAAGCCCGGGTCCTGCTCGCGGTCTCCAGACACCAGCTCGCAGACCAGCCGCTCCAGGCGCGCCGCCCGCAGCGCGCGCACCTTGCTCGTGCGGTAATGGAGGAAAGAGTCGGCCAGCTCGGTGCGGGGCTGCGGGGCGGGGGCGGGGGCGGCCGTGAGAAGTCAGGAGTGGCTGGGGGGGGGCACTCTTCCTGCACGCACGCCGCTTGAAAGCCCGGCTCTGGAATCTCCTCCGGTCCATTTCTCTACAGCCCCGCCCTCCTCGGAGGTGTGACTTAGCCCCGCCCACAAATGACCCCTGCGACCCGCCCCGGACACCTCCGTCCTCCCGGGCCCCCCTCCCAGCTGCCTTCGCCACACTTGTCCTACCTGGCCGCTTCTGGACTCCACCCCTCCTCCCAGCCCGCTGCACCTTGGCTTTCCTAGACCCCACCGCCAGCTCTACCCTCAGCGCCCCCAGGTCCCACGCGGGAAGCGGCCATACCTGACTCCACCCCACTCACCTGGCCGCCTCCAAGCCCCACTGCACCTGGAGGCCCGAGCTCACCGGCCCCCCCTCCAGCTCTGCGCTCAGCCGTCCGGGCTCCGGGGCCTCTGCGCGCAGCCCCACCCTCACGCGGCGGGCTCCCTGCGTCTCCCTCGCACGCCTTCCTCACCTGGCCGCCCCCAGGCCCCTCCCCCGGGCTCAAGCGCTGACTGAGCTGCCGGCGCAGGGAGACGCTGTACACCGCGCCGTCCTCGGTCTCCTCGCCCCAGTCCTGCAGCGGCGCCTGGACGCGGAGAGGGGCTCAGGGCGCGGCAGGGGGACCGTCTGGGTCGCCAGCCGGGCCTTCCTGCTCAGCGCTTCCCGGCCAGGGTCTTTGGGACTGGGGTCCAGGCTCACGAATTCTGTCTCCAGCCCCTTCCCCGAATGTGCGCGCTGAGAGACTCCCGCCCCCACCCCTGAAGTCCGACCAGACACGCATCACTGAGTGCCCCAGATGGGGACTCCAGGGCACGGCCCGCGGGGTGCGCACCTGGAGTTTCTGGGGGAGGGGGAGGTCACCAGGGATGTGGGGGCCCAGGGTCGTCGCCCCCCTTACCAGGGCGAGCTCCCTGCCCGCTGTCCTCTCCATGGCCCGTCCAGCTCCGTGGCGCCGCCGCCGAATGAGGCGGAAGGGCCAGCGGGCAGTGGGCAGTGGCCGCTGGGGCTGGCCGGGAGGGGCGGGGCGGCCCGCCGCGCCAGGCGGGGCCTAGTGGGTGGACCCACGGCTCTCGGATGCCCCCAGGTGGACCCCAGCGCCCGCGCCAACCCCAGCAAAGTCCTTGATGATTGCCCCGACTGGCCAGGACACCTCTGTCCCCAGGTGTGCGGGAGCTGAGACGTGGAACCAGGGAGGGGCAGGTCTCCTGTCTGCCCCAGGTGTGGGGGCGTCTCCCGTCCCTCTGGCTGGGCCACAGAGACCCTCTCTGCGTCCCCCGTGCAGGGCAGCCATCAGGTCCCTGGGGCAGCCCCATGTGAGCCGTGCAGAAACGGGAAAGCCCGCGAGCCTGGCTGGTTCGTGACCTTTATTGCGCCATGGCCGGCGGCGCCGACCCGCCGGCTGAGACTGACCGTGGGAACCTGTGCCTCGGCCCCTTCCTCTCCGGGCGCGCAGGCCTGCTCTGCTCCCTGTCTGGGCCTCGTCCGGCCGTGGAAGAGGCCCCCGCCGACCCTGAGGCTGGGCTCAGAGGGGCCGGGGCCGGGGGGAGGGGGCTCCCGAGGGGCCTGCGCGGCGCCGGGTGGGCGCGCAGGCGCGTCTAGGACCTCCGCGGACGGCTGCGCTTCTTGCTGCGGATTTCTACGAGTTTCTGGGAGCGCATCTTGAGCGCGGCGCGGGTCACCACGTCGTTGTCCTCGTCCTCGCTCTCCTCTTCGTCTGGCGGGGGGGGGGGGTGGAGGGAGAGGCACACGGAGGGGGCGGGGCGATGAGGGAGCCGCCTCCCGTCTCCCCCTCCCAGCCTGCACCCGCCCCGCCCCCTACCCGCCGGTGCTGACCGAAGTACTTGTCCTTGGAGCCGGCTAGGGGCAGGGGGATGCGGGTGTTGTACTGGGGCAGGTTCCCCTCCAAGGTGGCGTAGAACTGAGCAGGCGCGGAGAAGGGGGGACAGGACGGAGGGGTGTGAGCGGGGCGGAGACTGCGGAAGACGCCCATTCGGAGCCATGCCCCCCTCCCAGCGTGACGCAGACCCCCCCTGCCCCAACTCCCCCCACCCAACTGTTGCTGCTTCTTTCAGTCCTCGGCCTCGTGCGGATGCCCCCTTGTCCCTCACGCCCCTCTCTGGCCTCTGGGTGAGACCCCCGATTCCCGCACCCCAGCCACGCCCTCGGCCCCTCCCCCCCGCTCCTCTCCCGCGGGCCCCGGGCTCTGCCGGAGCCCCCAGGGCACCTCGTGGGCGGCGATGTGCCGCAGCAGCTCCGGGATGTCGTGGCTGCTCAGCTGCTCCTGCAGTCTCAGTAGCTTCTCCTCCACGAGGCGCAGCAGGCTGGGCAGATAGTCGGCGGCCTTGGGGTCCAACTCCTTTCCCGCGAAGCGCCCGTCCTCCTGCGGCCCGGGGGCGGGGCCGGGTCAGCCAGGGGCGGGGCCTCTGGGGGAACCGCTGACCTCTGCGGGACGGGGCGGGGCGGGGGGGGGGGCGCCTCTGCGTTTGGGAAATGGCAAGAGAAGGGTGGGGACGGGTCCCTTGGAGGAGGGGTCGTTAGTAACTCGAGGGAGGTCGTGGTGGGGACAGCCTAAGGCTCGGGCCGCCGCAGGGCAGAAGCGGGGTCTCCAAGGCTTTTTTTTTGGGGGGGGGGGCTCCAGGCGGGACAAAGTCTCCGAAGTCCTGGACCTTTTGGAGAAGCGGGGGTCTTCCCTAGCTTGGGGGCGTGGCTTCCTCCTGGGGGCGGGGCCTACCAGGGTGACGTGGTTCAGCTTGCCCGCCAGGTGCTCCAAGCACTCCTTGGCGCTCTGCATGGCCCGCAAGGTGCGCTCCAGCTGCCCCTGCGCCTCGCCTCGCCGCTGCTCCTCGGCCTGGAGGCGGCCCTGCATGTCGGCCTGCAGCTCCTGCTGGCTGCAGGGAGCCGGGAGGTCGCTGCCGCGGCGGGGCCCAGCCCGCACGGCGCCCCCTCCCCCGACACGGGCGCCCGCGCCTCACCTCACCAGCGTGGCCTCGCCCGAGTACTTGAGGTTCTCGAACTCCCGCTGCAGCCTCTGCTTCTCCTCCCTCAGCGTCCCCAGCGTCTGCTCGTTCTCGCTCTTCAGCGCCTCCAGCTGCGCGAAGGTGTCGCTCTGGGCCAGGAAGCGCCGCACCACCGACTGCGGGCCGCCGGGGAGGGGGGGGGGTCAGAGCCAGGACGCGCTCCGCGCCCCTGCCCGCGCGGGAGACACGCGGCCCCGCCGGCCATTTGCACAGGGACCTCCGGGGCTGGGCTGCCTGGATCCTGCCGCCCTGACCTTTTTTCTGGTGGGGCTCTTTCTTGTCTATAGCTAAGTCTTCAAAAAAGCTCGTGGAAAATGCATATTGTAAAAAAAAAAAAAAAAAAAAAAAAAAAAGACAAACAGCTCTGGGGTCGACGCTGTGGTGTAGCAGGTTAAGCCTCCGCCTGCAGTGCCGGTATCCCATGTGGGCGCCGGTTCGAGTCCCGGCTGCTCCACTTCTGATCCAGCTCTCTGCCATGCCCCAGGAAGGCAGTGGAGGATGGCCCAAGTGCTTGAGCCCCTGCACCTGCGTGGGAAACCTGGAAGAAGCTCCTTGCTCCTGGCTTTGGATCGGCACACTCTGGCCATTGTGGCCATTTGGGGACTGAACCAGTGGTAAATCTTTAACAAAAAACAAAAAACAACTAGGCATACTTTCATTCTTCTCTTTGAATTTTTTATATATATGTATTGGTCCCGCTTGGGCGACAGGAACCCAAGTACTTGAGCAACGGGGCCACTTCTGGGGGGAGATTCTCGCCCGGGCTTGTGTGGGAGTCTGCATACTGCATGGGTCCCAGCACTGCGCCGACTGGGGGAGGGGCGGGGGACTCCGCGCCCCAGAGAACCTGGGCTCACTAGGAGTAGACGGCCTGGGAGAGCACCCAAAAGACAGACACCAGGCTGGGGCCCTTGTGGATCCTGGATAAAGCAGGGCCCAGTGTCTGAGGATGGTCCTAAGGGGTCCAATACAAGTGGGGAAGACAGCGAGTGTAGACAGACAGCGAGTGTAGACAGCAAGTGGGGTTGGCTCCTGTGGGTTTCGCTGTGAACGGGCAGCGGGGTGGCAGCTGGAGGGGGAAGGGGCTCCTCGTAGGAAGAAAGCTGGTCTACGTGATGCAGCACGGGGCGAGGGTGCGGCCGCACTCACGTGCGTTTCGGCGGCGCCCGTGGCATCCTTGACCTTGCCAAAGATCATCTCCAGCTGGTACATGCTCCAGCGCCGCCGCAGCTCCTCGCCCTTGCCCCCATGGCCCTCCTGGATGGTGTCCTCCGACTGCAGCAGCAGGTGCTCGCGCTGGGTCTGCCCGGCGGGGGCGGGGAGGAGGTCAAGGCCAGGGTCAGCTCGCCCGGCCTTGACCTCCGGGGCGGAAGGAGGGGTGGGCTACGGCGGAAGCTGGCGGAGGGTTCTGGAGGGGCCAGGTAGGCAGCGGGGGCCTAGCGATGAGGTTTGCGTGGGAGGTGGCCGCACAGAGCCAGCGCGGAGGGGCGGGGCCGAAGCAGGTGGGCGGGGCCGAAGCAGGTGGGCGGGGCGGGGCCCACCTTGCGCTCCATGCGTTCGTTCTGCAGCTTCCTCTCCTCCGCGCGCTTCTTGCAGTCACTGATGTAGCGCTCGCGTTTCTTGCGCTCCCGCAGCACGGTCTCCTCCAGGTACTGCAGCTGATTCTGGGCGGGGAGGACAAGCGGGCCGGTCGCAGGGGCAGCCGCGGGCCCCCGGTCCGGACAGCTGGGCCAGGGTCAGCCCAGTGCACGCTGTGGCGGAGCGGGGCCGGCCGAGCAGGACGCCCTCCCTCCTGCCTTCCGCCCCCCGCCCCCCACCCGGCCGGCACCTTGGCGATGTCCCGGGCGTTGAGGGCCTCCTGGTTCACCACGTGCAGCTCCTCCAGCTCCTGTTTGGTCTTCACCACCTCCGCCTCCATGGAGTCCAACCGGCTGCCCATGTGGAGGCGCTCCTCCTGGGGCGGCGGTGGGGGCCTGTGGCTGCTGCCCCCGGCCGGCCGAGCGGCCCCGCCCCCGCCCCCGCCCCCCGCGCCGGCCCACCTGCAGGTACTCCTTGAGCCGCGTGTACACCTTGGTCATGTGTTCCGCCTCCTGCGCCTTCATCCGCGCCTTCTCCAGCCGGTTCTCCAGGTTGCGCACGGTCTGGCGGGAGGCAGGGTTGGCCTGAGTCCAGGCCCTCCCTCCGCTCCCCCCCCATCCCCACCCCGGGGCTCCCCGGCCTCACCTTGGCCACCTCCGTGTTGCTGTCCTGCGCGTCGGTCAGCTCCAGCTGGCGCAGGCTGTGGCGGAGTTGGAGCTCCTCCAGCCACTTCTGCCGCAGCGACACCTGGTGGCGCGCGGCGTTCAACTGCTTCACCTTCTCGCTCAGCCGGCGGTCCAGGTGCTCCAGGGCTTGCTGAGGGGCGGGGCGAGAGGGAGGGGCCTGAACCCCCGCACCTGGTCCATCCGCATCTGGTCCACTCGGCGGCGGCGTCGGATTCTCCCTCCCGCCCGCCCCCGGCCCCTCTGAGACACAGATACAGACAGCCACACGCGCAGAGCTCCTGTCCCCTGGTTCATTTCCCCCGATGCCCACAGTAGCCGCAGATGGGCTGGCTGAAGGCGGGGAGACCAGGAAGCAGCCCTGGGACCCAATGCTTCGAGCGATCACTGCCGCCTTCCAGGGTCTGCACTAGCCGGTAGGACTTGGGCATCCTAACCTGGCATAGTTTTTAAAAATCATTTATTTACTTGAAAGGCAGAGTTACAAAGAGAGAAAGGTGCTGGTTTACTCCCAGAATGGCCACAATGGCCAGGGCTGGGCGATGCTGAAGCCAGGAGCCTGGAGCGCCATCTGGGTCTCCCACGAGGATGCAGGAGCTCAAACATTTGGGCCATCACCTGCTGCTTTCCCAGGGATGCTGGATCGGAAGTGGAGCAGCCGGGATTAGAACCAGCGCTCATTATGGGATGCCGGCGCTGCGGGCAGACGCTTACCCTGCTGCGTCACGTCACAAGGGGGGGGGCCTCTAACCTAAGGGCCAAACACCTACTCCCCGCCCCGGGGGACCACCTGGCCTGGCTGTCTGCGGCTCATCTCCAATTTACCACCCATCTCCCTGTGTGCCCCATCTCCCCTGCCTTTGGAGAGAGAGACCCCGGATCTCCTTCCTGCCCAGATCTACCGGTTTGGGGACCTCCACAGACTGAGCCTT